TCTTCTTTTTGATGCTAAAGTTAGAACATGTATTTAATTTTAGTTAGTGTAGAGCAGGGGTGTCAAACTTATTTTAGTTGAGGGCCAAATGAAAAATGAAAGGGCAGGTCAGGGGCCAAAAAAATAAGTGGGTTTCATTTATTAAACTTTTCTAAATAAATGACTTGTTTCACATTAGTTGGACATTCTTTTCTGATTAGAATTAGTTCAGTTCCAGTGACTGAACCAAAACTGGACCAAATATTGAAGGTGTAGAGGAAGATTTTCTAACCTGGCAAAAGCCAGATTGATGATTGTGTAGAACTCTAACGCGTTCTCCGCGATATCAATCTGGGATTTCTCCCGGAGAATCCTTTCGGGCAAAGGAGGGGTAAGCAGCAGAATACTTGAAGCTGATTGGGCGAAGTGACGCTGTGTGCCCGCCTACCAAGGTTGCCGTCCAGAAATGTACAAAGCGCCTCTCGCTGTTCATCTTTCAAAAAAGAAATTGGAGATTCTGCTAAAACTGACTTTGCGTCCGTCCTCCTGCGTAGCTATGTTTGTTTTGCTTCGGCCCGGCACTTCTTGCTTTCGTCAAACCCGGATATCCCGCCCTAAACCCCCAGACTGGCGCGTGATTGGCTCGCACACCCAGTGGTTCGACTCGAAAAGTGTAAGCGGGAGCGGTACAAGATGTATTCTCGAGTGTTTGTGAACTCACAAATACCGCGAGAATTCAGCTTGCAGGCAAGGTTAAAGATTTTCTACTTCTGTGTGTATCATCAAGACTATTGGTCCTCCCAACTGTCAATCATTCTGGTGATTCGTGCTCGTCCAATAAGACCAAAGAGATTTGTTCAAAAAGTGGAGAGGGCGGTTCTTTCATATCTTTAAGAGGAAATGTAATTGAAAACTTGTAATGAACATAACATAATAATACTAACTTCTAATTACATGTTAGTTAAATATTTCTTATGGAATTAAATGTAATGGTTTTTTTCTCAGTAATGAATAACATGCCATTGTCGCCTTTTTCCATTTATGCTGCTATTTAATATAATAATTTAAAATCATCTCAAGGGCCACTGGAAATGGTGTCGCGGGCCGGATCTGGCCCCCTTGCCTTGACTTTGACACCTGTGGTGTAGAGTAACCGCCCGTTTATCTCGTGCTGTGTGCTGCTAATTCCTGCTGTTCTGTAACCGGTGATGCAACACTGACATTTCCCCACTGTGGGACAAAGAGAGAATCTCTTCAAGCTTCAAGTACCTGCAGAAGCAACACACTCGAATAGTATTGGCTTAGACTTCATGACAAGTACATATAAAGTATAAATTAACTGAGACTTGCAAACAAAGTTGTATAAAGTTCATAGAAATTAGCAAACCACCTGCCCAGGCAATTAAAACAAGGAACACAAAGTTAAGACATTTTGTTTTTGATCCATTTGGTCTAAAATATCTAAAATTTTGCTAAACGTCACTTAAATTCAGCATGTTTTGACTGCCTTAAAACAAGTTTTACCAATGAGACAAACAAAATGATCTTGTTTTAAAAAGATATAAGAAATGTCTCCCTTGGAATGATAAAATGTTCTCAATTTAAGATAAAAAACACACAATTCAAGCAGTTATTACCTCATATTTTATCATTTTTTGCAGCACTTTTGGTCAATTTTTGCCTACACACGATATGCTTCTGTCTTTTCTATAACAGCAGTTTTGTTTTGCTGCTTGAACTATAATTTCTCTGGAAAGACGGATTTTCTTGTCGTCATTATGTACAGTTCAAACAATGATTTCCATGATTACAAGCCCCAGGGTTGGCATCAAAAAAACTTCAGAGACTTTAAGAAACCACTTCAGAGCAGCTGGGACCAAAGTCGTACGGCGTTTGTATGTGTAGACTCAGGCATTGACTCACAAACGCTCATTTTTCTATCTTAAAGCCCGATGCATTGAGTTATATTTTTACTCAACCATAAAACATTTCTTCTTGTGATCATGTCCTTGCTTTGATGCCACTCCTGCCCTTGTCACGCACACTGCCCGGGCTTATGTTACGCTGCTAACATCTGTGAATCTGACCGCACCGCACCAGAAACACAACCTTTACACCCAATACGTAAGAAAACATTGCAAATATGACACACACTGCAAAAAAATAACACAATGTGATGTAATAATTGCTTGAAACAAATATTTTTTTATCTTAATTTGAGTCATAATCAAGAACTGTTGCTTCATTTTCTCATTCCAAGGGAGAGATTTCTTATATCTTTAACATCCTTTTGCTTGGGTCCATACTGTTAAAGCAGTCACAATGTGCTTAAATTAACCCTTTAAAGTTCAATCCTTGAATAAAGCACTGCATTTTTTTTTCTAATAAGTAGGAGTTCTAATAAAAAAAAAATCATCTTTCTTTAATTTTTTTTAATTATAGGCCTCTACAGAATGTTTTAGATGCAGCTTGATGGTGAAAGTGCCTCAAACCAAGTGATAGAGATGCCCCAATGAGATAGATTTCAGCTTCAAGTTTATATAATGACTCACACTCAAGTGATCCACCAAATGGTTGAGGAAAACATTTCAGGGTTAAGGTACAATTTTGCCAAATTTGAGCAATTTACATATTTTTCATCACTTTTTGAGGAGTACTCTAAATTGATCATTAAAAGTATAAAACATTCATTTCAATGTTTTGTTTGTACAGAGGCACCGTGGCTGAGTGGATAGCACCCTCGCTTCTCAGCAAGTAGGTTCGAATCCCGGTCGAAACAGGGCCTTTCTAAGTGGAGTTTGCATGTTCTCCCCGTGTCTGCGTAGGTTTCTTCCAGGTGCCCCGGTTTACCCTACATGTAAAATAGGTCTGGCATGTACTGGCGACCTCACTCCCATCTCTGGGTGGAGTGAGAGAAAAATTGTAAACCGCTTTGTGACTCTGATCTGTGAAAGGCGGTAAATAAAAAAAAAAGAAACTTAATAACTTACTTACTTATTTCTCTTTGGAGGACTTTACAAATTTGTCAACTTGCCAACACAGATCAGAGAATCAAACTTTTCAACTTTGCAGATTGCAGACCCTCTCAACCATTGCTTGAATAGAATGCTGAGTTATGAAAAGAAATGATCAACGCTTATAAAACTTTTACAAAAACACACTTGGGACTTTAAATTGAATAATGTACAAGTGCATTGCTCCTCAAAAAAAAGTTCAAGTACCTGAATATCACAGTAACACGAGCACAGCTGCTCGCTAAAGTAAAGACTCCAATTCTAAATGTCACATGTTTGCTATTTTCTCGTAGCGGTGTGATTTTCTTGGGTTTGGAATCAAAAAGATGTTTAGCGAACAAATTCATCTTATGCAGCCATGTAAAACCCATTCTTTAGGTATAGAAATCCTGTCCGGCCATGATTCTCTCTCAAATCCGATCCAGCTGCCCTTCACCGATCATGATCTCATTCCCACAAGCTACATCCCCATGAACGGGACACATGGTTCAAATTAAGCAATCCACTGTGTGATTTATCAAGCCACAACACTGGGCCCAGGCTCAAACGTAAAGCTGGATTTCCCTGGATCCATTTTGTAACCCAGACTTAAAGTGTTTAGATAAATTGTACAGTATAACGTTGTATTTGAGGTTTTCCTTGCCGATGTAGGAGGGTCTATAAGGACAGTGGTGATGATCCAGGACACTCCGCATTCTACAACATTTATTGACTTTGGTTATCTGCCTCTTTTGGACCAATCTCTTTGCGTCTTTTATCATTTGATTCTCTGATCTGTTTGGTCAAATTCAACACATTTTGTAAAGTCTTCTGAGATAACTACGGTTTAGATTTAGGGCTATAAAGTGACACATTGAATTGATTTGAAATTCATGAATAAATGTGAGCGAAAGAACTTCCCTGTGTCACAAATGTGTTATTCCTAACTTCAATCATTGGTATTTAATGGGCTTTGCGTGAGAGAATGAATGGGCAACGGCTCCGGACTGACCTGCCATAAGTCCATTTACAGGATTTGAATCATTCAGGGAAAACATGAGGTTTTCATTGCCTTCTTTGGACCGGGTCTGTACTTCAATTTGCATTAGCTTTGTCTTGAGTGAATGAATGAAAACTTGGACCAACTCGAGAATTTAAGGCTTTGAATGACAGGAATAAAATGCATAATGTGTGTAGAGCTGGTTCAAAAACTTCAACAGTAACGGTAATGGTATTTTTTAACCAATAGCCAATTTTCTGTCTGCTTTTGGAATGCATGAAACAGATAAGATAAGATAAGATAAACCTTTATTAGTCTCACAGTGGAGAAATTTCAGTGTCATCGTTGCACATTACAGCAGAGAAAGGAAATAAGAGCACTCAGATTGCACACATCAAAGTCTATTATTTAAGATAATAGACAATAAATTTAAGATAAAATAAAATAAAATAAGAAAATCTGGGCTACAATTGCACTTGGTTCGGAGTATTTACAGATGTCTATATTATACATTAGCAGGGGAGAATATGAGAATATGAGCAGAATAAACATCAGAAATAATATCAACAGGTAAAGTGACTTGAATGGGAGAATTATCAGATGGATATGAATAATACAGTAAGATATCAACAACCTAAAAGCCTGACAATAATACAAATTAACTCAACCCCTTCTGTTCATCTCAATCCATAATACTGATTTAGTAAAATTCCCATTCACACATAAAGCCGTCTACAAGTTCACGGTTCCCCCCTTTGAAAAGCATATCATCTTTCCTCATCCTCCTTTGTCCACCTCCACAAATTTCCAACAAAAGTTTCCGTCTGCCCTCACTCTCGCATTGGATTATATCTCCTGTCAAATCTTTATCTTCTGTTTGTAGCATCACACATTCCAGACAGGCACACGGTTAAAACAAGGCTCCAACTTTATCCATACATACAAACAAACTCATGCAGGGCCCCACCCCTCCCAGCCAACCTCCACCCTACAGAATAAAAATATAAAATGTGTATGCTAATGCTTACCGTTCCAGAGCACAGAGACAAGAAGTAGTGAAACAGTGGTTATTTTGCAGAAATTGAGTTTCCGTGAAGATGCTGCCATTGTCCCGGGTGAGGTAAACTCGTGTGGGATGAGAGAGCCGGGTTTGAAGGAGAGAAGGAAAAAAGGAGGGAAAGAAACTGTAGGAGCAGGAGTGGGGCAGTGGAGGATAGAGTTTCCTGTAAGCCACACAGAGGCAGGCTGGATAAAGCAGCACTTGTGCTCTGTCACACTTTATATAGGACCACCCCTCCCTCCTGCAGCTACTCCTCCCCCGGCGCAGAGGCCTGCTTCTGGATCTACCCCTCCACATGTGGCCCATACCCGCTGCAGAGGCAACAGTTGGGTTTTGGGGAGTTCACACAACTGCAGCAGCATTCTTTAGAGTTGCTTTCATTTCTTAGAGATTAAACACAAGATAACTTTCTCGTGAATCTCAAATGAATGCTATACTTTATATTCTGTATATAGATATTGAAGCATTTGCAGCTAAAGGACTGCAGGGACTAGTATTGTATATTTTGTGTGCTCCTTGTGTGCTCCTACTGCTGTCCTGCAACATCGAAATTCCCCAACTGAGGCATTATTTTATCTTAAAGTATTCTGTGATTATTTATTTCAAACACCAAAAGACATTAAACAACAACCGGATACAATAATAAACAGTAATACACAGTTTGAAAGGGGTTGGATGAAGCGGACACTTAATTGTTTTTGGTTCCAACTCGTCTCACTCATACAACACACACGCGCGCACACACACACACACACACACGGTCATACTGTATTCAGTGTTCTGGAACAAAATACGTGTTTAGAGTATTCAACCCAACACTGACTATAGCAGTGTCCCCGAACCTTTTTGAGCCATGGCACACCACCAGCTGAAACTGAAACAAACATGTAACTCTGCACCCTTTTTAACAAAACAAATTGTGTTATATAGAAAATCAAATAAGTGCAAAGAAGTTATTTATTATTTATTGTTTATTTGGTTGGGACACATCACTCCGGATTGTAGCCATGGGCTAATTTGCATCCTTTGTCCCACATCCGCCCTCACAAACACACACTCATTCAACCTGAATTATTGCACATGTTTTTAGTGGTAGGGGAAATTGGAGCACCCGGAGGAAACCTAAGCAGACACGGGGAGAACATGCAAACTATACTCAGAAAGGCCCTGTTCCGACCGGGATTCGAACCCAGAACCTTCTTGCTGAGAAGCAAGAGTGCTACCCCACTCAGCTACTGTGCCGCCCTCAAGTATTTCTAATCTTGTATTTATTTTTTATTTCACATTATTTTGACCAAGTCGGTGATATTGGATAATTTCCCAAGTCACACCAAATAACATCTCAGACACAGACGTCCCACGCCACACTGGCGGAAAAAACACTGACTACAGCGTATACTTCAGAGTACAGTGTATCTTTTATGTATTTATACAGCTTGAACTTATGTTTGTGTAAGCTCTCAGTCGTACAGGGATTAGTCAAAGCAAAGGAAGGTTTCTCACCCATCATCTGTACTTCTTAGCAAGTTTTACTTCTTAGCAAGTTTTACTTGCTAAGAAGTACAGATGATGGGTGAGAAACCTTCCTTAGCTTGAACTTATGCACTGCACATTTTCTCATGTTCATAACCATAAACATTTTTTTTTTTTTTTTTGCCAAAAGTTCACACAAAAGTAACTGTGAAGTTAATTTCAAAATGATACATGATTATTTAAAAAAAAAAATAGAAAGGTGAAACTCGGCACAAGTATTCATACAGCATGGCAGCAAGTATTTTGAGCTATAGCTCCACAATATTTTCACATCTAGAAAATACATTTCAGTCCATTCCTCTTTACAAAACAACTTAAGCTCTGTCAAACAGTTTTCAGGTCTTTCCACAAATTTATTTTGGATTACAGGTCTATGAATATGTTTTTTTGAGCCATTTCGTTGTAGATAGTTTTGTCTTTAGGGTTGTAGTCCCGCTGGAAGGGGAATTCAAACTGTAACACTCTATCTTTGACCCAGGTGCAATTATTGGCACTGAGGTTCATTTCTTACTATATATTATTTTATCTTGTTTGACGTGGGCATTATCTGAGTGTTCTTATTATTCCTTCTGCTGGTATTTGCACGACTATAACATCCCACCTGGGATGCAAATGAAGGCTTATATCTTATCTTAACTTAAGCACATCACAGCTGTCGCCAAAACATTAATGATGTTTTTTACTCACACTTGAGTCAATATCTGAACTTATCTTTACATCCAATCCATGAATAGTTTGTTTCAATAGTTTTCTCAATAGACTTCCAAATCATAAGCTGCGTCTTTTTCCCAACACTTTGAACACGCGGCTTAAACTTAGGTGCAGCTTAATGTTTATGTTTTATTTTAATTACTGTGGAGGCAAGACAATTTTGCCAAGTAACAGTAGACCAACAGAATTTAATAAATAGTTCACAGAGGCAATCAGCCATTTGTGATGTAAAATACTAAAAGAAAAGCATAACATGTTTTTGGGTTCTCTGTATAAACATGAAAGCTAAAAGAGAACTGTTTTTGAGCTACATTCTGGTATGGTTGTGGTTTATAATCCGGTGCGGTAAATAAAAGTATAAAAGTACAAAATTCAATTTCTTTAAAAAAATTAGAGCATGTGGCTAATAATCAGGTGTGGTTTATAGTTACAAATACGGATTAAAATGTCACATATCAAATCGAACACATACATTATAATGACACCATTCAGCCTTAGCTTTCTTTATATGCATCGATTATGGACAAATACTGGTAGCTTTTACATTTACGTTCACCACGGCTGCAAACACTAATCCACACTGCTTTTCATTTGTGAACTGTGTCTTTCTTCAGCACATAATGAAAGCCACAGTGGACAATAGATGGTGACAGTGCCGCTTCTAATAGGCTTAGAATAGATCCAGAATATTAAAGCTGCTAAACAAAAGTGCCCACCGCTGTTATGCTAATTCCGTTAATCCATTCGGCAGAGTTTTAACAGGTTTCCTTCATCACTCAGCAAAGCCATCAATCAACATCTGTGTTAGCAAAGCCTCCGCCGAGGACTCTGCTTCAACCTTTCACACTTTGAGAAGAAGACCAACCCCCCATCAAGCAACAAGAGCCTTTTCTCCCACTTGTATTCACTTTGAGACATCTGGAACTGTTACAGGAGGTATGTTAAAAGACCCATAAAAATAGTTCTTACTGACAACAAGACAAAAACCATCACGATGAGCACAGGCGCTAAATACTACACTTGTAATTCAATACTTGGCAGTGTCCCTATATTTCCCCCCCCCCCATTTCCTCCCGTGCTAGCTGGCTCCCCTTCACCCCCACCCCCACCCACTCTGGGGCACATTCACCTCATCAGACAGCATGGTGTTGAGGCAGACAATTGGAGTCCAGCTGTGATTCCAGATGAGCAGAGGGAGGGTTAGGAGGCTGCGGTAGTGAACCCAGTTGCAGGCAAGTTTATTTGTATAGTGTAGTTCATACATGAGGCAACTCAAAGTGCCGAACAAAACCATATGGAAACAATCATGCATAATCACTGTCTGTATAAAAATCTTTCAGATGTATGTACAGCTTACCAAAGTAAACCAATGTTTGAACCTGGATTTGAAAATTGTCAGAGAAGAAGCCCGTCTCACATTTTCAAGAAGACGGTTCCGGATTTTAGCTGCATACATTTGAATTGCAGCCAGTTCTGGTGAAAACAATATTTTCCAATGGGACAAAACTATTTAGTCTTATTACAAGAACTGTGACTTTATTTTCTCACTCAAAGGAAGAAATGTTTTGTATATTTTTTGAAACAAGCCCATTTCCCTTCTCTCATGGGCAAATCATGTTGTAAGGAAGTCAAAATGTGCTGAAATTTGAATAGATTTTGCTGAATTTGAAAATTTTTTGATTTGGTTATCATCACTTTTTGATCCCATTAGCTGAAAGAACTGCAATCCACTGGACTTCCTGGGTCCATAGTCATAAGAGAGGTTGATACTGTAGTAGTGTGTGTCTTCGTGGTAAATATGAAGAATATTGCTCATTCGTGCCTGTGAGTCACAGATAGATGTCAAATGGAAATAGGAGCTGCAGACCTTACAGCCTCAGCACTGCAGAGTCAATACTCAGCCTTTGTTGGTCACCCATGTCCGTCGTTACATGTTATTTTTTTTTTTTTTTTACTAAATTCAAAAAGTAAAGCTTGGGGACTTAGCTTGGGGACTTAATTCTACTATTTTAACTATGTAATAACACGTATCTAACTCATCCCTTGCACTAAAAATACTTTGGTTTTATCACTAGTTTTCACATACATGTATTTTTGGCCTCTGTCACATCTTATAAATCAACTTTTTCAACAGAAAAGTGAAAAACAGGACCACCCTCACTCAGCTCTCAGCCTAAAGTGTGAAGTAGTGACTGTCTGGGCCTTTTCTTACAAGTATGTAAACGATTACATGTCGTCCGATTGGAAATGGCACCAGGTTGTTCTCTAAAGTGTATTTTACCAGACTTTTTGAGACTGTTCAAAACGGTATTCTTTTTGAAAATAAAAGTTACATACAAGCTGCATGCGGCAATGAAAGCCCTTGCCAACCTCGCGACTGCCTCCCTGGCGCCAATTCCATAAGTGTCATGCATTGTAGTTGCCGATTAATTCACAGCCTGATCGGACCAGGATTACACACGGAAGAAGCTGATTTAAAGGATCCAGTGTGCCCCTAGTGGTCAACCGTGGGACATGCACCCTCTGCGTATTGTAATATTTTGCTCGTATGGATCATAGACTGTATATATTAAAGGACGTAGTCACTGCTATATCTCCGCCGTTCTAACTAATGGGCCAAAAAATGTAACCTTGCCTGCAAGCTGAATTCTCGCGGTATTTGTGAGTTCACAAACACTCGAGAATACTGTACATCTTGCCCCGCTCCCGCCAACCCTTTTCGAGTAGAACATCTAGGTGTTCAAGCCAATCACGCGCCAGTCTGGGGGTTTAGGGCGGGATATCCGGGGGGTTTGACGAAAGCAAGAAGTGCCGGGCCGAAGCAAAACAAACATGGCTACGCAGGCGGACGGACGTGTAGCTGAGGCTATCAAGTCAGTTTTAGCAGAATCTCCAATTGCTTTTTTGAAAGATGAACAGCGAGAGGCGCTTTGTGCATTTCTGGACGGCAAAGATGTTTGTGCATTTTTACCTACGGGTTTTGGCAAACCTTGGTAGGCGGGCACACAGCGTCACTTCGCCCAATCAGCTTGAAGTATTCTGCTGCTTATCCCTCCTTTCCCCGAAAGGATTCTCCTGCAGAAGTCCCAGATTGATAGTGTGGAGAACGCATTAGAGTTCCACACAATCATCAATCTGGCTCTTGCCAGGTTACAAAAAATGGGCTCGCATGGAGTGATTCAAAATGGCCGCGGGGCTGGAAAATGTGAAAAAACGCATCTAGGCATGCGTCAGCCGGCACGAGCCCCATTCATTTAAACAAGTGACTTCAAAAATTCACAGCGAGTAAACTATATAGACTGGTCCAAAAAAATGCACCCCCCTCAGCATTGACACACATGTGGAACGAAGCTTTGGGCCAAGAGCCAACTTTTGGACCATCCTGTAAAGACGTTTTCGAGAGGTCAGCTAATGCTATATGTTAGCATTGGCTAATTCTTAAACCGGGTCCACCCCCATTGGCCCGGGGTGGTATTGCAGCATGTCAGTGCACGTCATTTTGGCCACTTTTGAGCCGGAACCCGCCCCCACTGGTATGGATGTAAAGATTTGACGCTGAAACTTTGATCAGGCCAATCCTAGCACTAGTACCAGATGTGAGTCTCAGCTCTGTAGGTCTGAGCCTGAGGCCCTGAGGGCTTGGCCAAAACACCGAAACCAATTGCATAACTCCAATCAATCCAGATTGGGAAATGACATGGCAGAAGTCTGTGTTATGAAAAACCAAGGACTAGAAGGAATGCTAAAATGAAAAGTGAAATTGGTGGCGAAAGTTCAGACCATCATGGCTGACTTCTTGTCAGAGAGTTCTCAGGGTAAAGAATACTTTAGGCAGAAAAATATTAATAATAATACAAAACCGGCGACTAACAATAAAATAGAAATATAAAACAGAACATAAGGAGAGCGACACAACTTTTGGATAACATGCACATACAGAAGACAGTAAATAGACAATAAACCATTAAAAAAATCAGAGAGCATGGTTACTTCTTCTCTGGTTCTGGGTAAAACTTTAAGATTTCTTTGAAATGTAAAGTGGTATATGAATAAAATGTATTATTATTAGTCCTACTGAATTCTGCATCTGTAGCCTGCAGCTTCAATCTGACAACTCTGCAATTCAAGAAAACGAACTATGACTTTTCACAGACCAAGGTTCTCCAAACCGCTCCTCGTGTAGTGCAAGTGAACAATGCCTCTATACGAAACAAAAATAATAATAAACTCTAAAGTTTGCAATATAAAAAAGTATAAAACCCATGACTTTTGCATAATGGTATTTTATACATGCTTCTTTTTTATGCTAAAGCTAGAGTCAGAGTTAGTTAGTTCATTATTATACACGTTATTTCAAATGCAGAGCATTATTATGGTTACCATGGTTACAGTTGTATTTCCTCACACAGACTTTCTTCATTTGGTTTTATTTGTTTATTATGAAGCCATGGTTCTGCATCTGTGGAGTTTTATGGACTTTCAAACATGACCTCATCAAATCTGGTGCAGAAAGAGTTATACTGAACTCTAATCAACCTATTTTTCATCAACAACAAAACATATTTTATAACTTATAAAATATAATATTGTCAATAACCAGGCTATACCCTTACCATTTAGTCGGACACAGTCACACCACACAATTTCAAATACAAAATTAATCTTGGTAGGATTTATTTACTAAAAATTTCATAAATTATGTTTTTTTTGCAGCAATTAAGTTTGTTATGTAAGATTATTTTACTAGTTTTAAGATTACAATAGTTCATGATCGTATTAGAGGAAAAAAGTCTGAGCAGTGAGTTTTTAAGCTTGCTTTAAGTATTGTTTTCTTATATCCAGAACTATTTTCTTGTTCAGGTAAATACGTATGTTATACGTAAGAAAACATTTCTCAAAAACTTTGTGTAAATAAAATTTATGTTTTTATACTAGAATCAAGTCATTTGGGGCTAGAGTTATTATTTTTTTTTTTTTAAATCCTAGTCATAATTTCTTGTTGAAATGGCAGATATTTCTTGTTTTAATCAGTATTTTACTTATGTCTGTTGATGTTTTTCAAAGAGAAATTTTCCAGTGTAAGAGATTTGTAGAAATGAGGAACAACCAACACAATTTAAACAAACTCTATAGTTAAATAAAACTCTAAAATCTTTAAATTTAGCTAAACGAAGAAGTATATATATATTTTTTTGACACTATATTTGACCATGCCTTATTTTGTTTCGTGAGTGAATTCGGTGAAATACCATCGAACATGTGTTGCTCGGGAACGCAGACGACCAAACTCTTCGTCAAACCAAAGCCCCAGTGTTTTCTGACGAGGAGTTCCCTTCCAGCTCAGCCTATACTTTTAAACCACAAAAATCTCAGAGATGTCGCAAAGTATGTAAAGGACGTGCCAGTATTTCAACATGCACGAGAACTCCTCCTTAATAAACAGTCACTCCAGAGCACATGTGGTTTCCATATGAAATAAATATTCTTGGAGAGAGGTGTGAGGAAAAGCAGATTTGGTCTCACTGTCTTTTTTTATCTAATGTTTTTATCCTTTACATTTCCTGATATTTATTTTGTTGTATACTCCCAGAGCAGTCCAGGTGACGGCTTTTTGTTTTAGAAGCGTCATTTTTCAGCTTATATGCATTTTTTGGTCTTCATAACTTTGTGACTTTTTCTATATATGTTGTTTATTTCTAGGCAATTATGAAACAATCTTTTATTTTTACCTCTCTCTCTTTTTTTTGACTGTTCCATTTATTTCTCAATGTACATTTTTTTCTTTTGGTGGTCCTGGTTCTGGTTCTGAGCCGAGTCAGCTTTTTTTTTTTCACTATAAAGAGTAAAAATACAGTGATGACTAGGTATGGAAGGACTGAACCCCTAGCTCAATGAATCCCAATAGTGAAGTGCTCATGGGTGAAGTTTTGCTCCAGCTCCAGTAACTGTTTGTGTCACACTCACCATTTTGAGTTTACACATTCTGTGCTTTATTGTTCTCTGCGATCGTGGAGTTCTTTCTCTTCTCCGTCCCCTTTAGTTCGGGTCTATACTTGTATATTCTTTTTGTATTACTTTCGTCTTGTCTTATCTTTTATTGTATTGTGATTATGTATGATTGTAAT